CCCCGCCCCCCCCCCCCCTGAACACACAACTAACACTAAATTTATAAACACTGTATGCGTTAGTGGTGATCCCTCTGTGTCCCCTCGTCTATTTAACGATGCTTTGTCAATCTGCAAGATTTTATACCGTCGAAAAGAGAACTGCTATGGATGATGAATTGGGGAAAAAATCTGAAAGGAAGTATTCGTGGTACTAACCTAACATAACCTATCCGGAGGGACTGAGGAAAAAATTGCTTTCGAGCCGAGAATCAAACCCGAGACCTTTTGAATTCGAAACAGGGGGTGATAACCTCAAGTTTGGCAACTAATATATATCGTTGTGAACCGAAGTTGCAACGCGTAGAGATAAAAAAAATGTAACAAATGTCCGACATTTTGAGTCAGAAAAAATGTCTGCACTGTCATCAGAAAGCAATGACGTCAGATGACTGAAATTTTGCTAGACAAAGGTACTGCATTGTTATTCGGTGGTCTTTCAACCGGCAGGTGGAAGTCCTCTCTCTCTTTCGAGGTCCTTCTCGAGACGTGTCGTGAACCCCTTAGCTCGTCACGTGTCTGAAACACAACTCGACGACACCCTATGAAGAGATTAACCCTTTCTGTCCTCACATCATAACCGAGCATCGCCAAGGTCAATTACATACACTCGTTATTCCCACAGCCAAAATGTAACACGCATTACTTATACAGTCAGTGAAATAAGTCAGGGGGCACAATTATCTCCCAGCAGAGACTCCTCTGGGGTCCTCCACCTCATCCCATGTACCGTGTCCTCATTCAGAATGCGTGGAACTTAACCTCCAACAGCCAAACGCATTTCCACGGCGTTGGCTTAACAAACCAAACAAATAAAAATAATACTTCAATCCTTAGCTTATTCAGAACGGTCATTCTAAGCGACAAATCTCGTGAGTAACGTCTAACGGGTCAGTTTAATAATGAACGTACATACCTTTGTAATATTCTTGCATTGAAGGAACTGCGTCCACCTGGCAGATCGGAGACGCGTTTGCCACCCCATTTGACCCTGAAGCGTTCAGTCCTAAGATTGTTCGTATTAACGCAGTTTTTCCCAAAGTCCCGATGTGCTTCGCTGCGACCACCACCACATTATCCGACCCTTCAGAATAAGTCCCTGCCTCCATGTTGGTAAAAAAAACCCGGTCACTACTGACACAGAAATCACAATGAATTAGTCCAATGAAAATACGTCACGATGAATTCCATAGGACGCGGTGATCTAGGGACATTTAAAAGAAAAGTCCTGGTTTGATATTGACTCTGTCGGGGATACAAATGTAACCAAATCACTTGAAAATGCACGTCGTCTTACTCGGATCTCGTATTTCGTTTCACAGAACACTGCATTCAAAAATATGTTAACCCTATTTTCTTGTATCCGTACGCGTAACACTGACTTAGTACATTCGGTTAGCACAGCGCCAGGTCTGACCGACGACTGTCTGCTACCTCAGCTGTCGTCTGATAAAACACTTTCATAAAAAACCACCCATCATAATCATGGCAATGACGGATGCATACAGTGCTTACGAAACGTCAGAAAACTACGAGATGACACGGCACTATAACCCAGGATCCTTATCTATTTTATTTTAATAATTATATTCATTATTGTTATTAAAAATGTGGCTATTTTATGACAGAAGTTTCATTGCAGAATTCCGCTGTTTTAAACAGTCTGGCCGGCGACTTCAAACCCGGGATACCTTCGCATTCCGAAGGACGCCAGCCACAATTACTGCCGTGTTTTCGTGAGCTTTCTCAGGCACTACAATCTAATTTCGTTTCGGTTCGTTATCACGATTACAAAGTTCATTGTAATTCCTAAACAATACTCCGTTTTATCGTGACGTAAGAACCAGGTTATCGTCGTCATTAAAACATTTTTACACCCCTTAAGTAATAGTTTCTATTAGCGACCACTTAACAAGCCACGCAAGAACATGGCCTGAGTTGCTTCTGAGAAGAGGGCGCTGAACAAAATATTTGGACATTTGACACACTCACGTAATGAGGCGATCCAAAATTTTTACTTTCCACCATATATTAAGGGTATTAAATCAAGAGGATGGGTTCGGTGGGGCATATAGCGCGCAATACCCTGCAAGATTGTAATCCGAAACTCAGAAAAGGAGTAACTTGGAAGACCTAGAAGTAGATGTGAGGATAATATTAATATGGATCCCAAAGGATGCAAAATGGATTCAGCAGACGAACCAATGGCGAGTTCTTCTTCTGAATCTTCTGATTTCGTAAAAGTCGTGTCAAATATCTTCACCAGATAAGCGACTATCAGATTCTCCACGGCGTTAGACTGTCAACATAAGTCGTCAAAGTGTCTGAGTGTTATAGAGGCCAATTCGTTACTTAAATTCCTACAAATTTTTGTTATTCAAACGCATTTGTCGAATGCAACGTCCAAAGGAAATTGTGTTCTATGCGACGTCATAATAGAACGTTCGTGAAAGTTTCACGGGCTGGACACGGATGACAAATTCGCGTCTGTCGTATATCGAACACCTGACATCCAACCCATTTTAAGTTACGAGCTGCTAGGTAGATCCTGAACACTTCAATCTACGGTACGCCGTGTTCAGACGCGAACTGAGTGGTACAGCTGTTAACTGACCACCGAAACAAGTCTATGCAGACCGGATAAAAAAAAATCCTTGCTTCCAAGACGAATTACAATGACATAAAACGAATACTTTCACTATCTCAGGCGCAGTAGAAAGTTTCCTCTAAAAACTTGTTACACGAACCGTGTTCCTGTCAGCTCTCCTTTAAAATGTTTACGTTATGCAACAGATAGACATCTGATCCGCTGTGGGAAGACGTCGTGTTCCAATACGTAGCTCGCCACCTGCTAACTACAAACAAGCTTCAAAAATAATCAATACTGACCGAGACTATGACGTCAGGAGTCAGTAACCTTCTGTCTACCACGCGGACCGAATCAGCTGTTTACTTCAATGTCTTGTAGTGAGACAGCAAGCGAATTTATTTCTCTAACACGAAGAGAACAGCTCGAATTCACTTCGAAACAGAAGCATCATAGCGTAGACTCTTCATTTAAAGCCATTTTTTAATGTTATAAAACTTTAGTTATTGGTACCTCAGTGATTTTCATATTGTCTGCCTGAATTCTCTGATAACGTATTTATATTTATATAAATATTCTCTTCGGGAGCAGAAAATGTTTGCCCTTCTCCCATTGGATATTCCAGCGTCATGTGACGGACAGTACAAAAAAGTTGCGAGGGGCCACATGCGGCCTGCGGACCATAGGTTGTTGACCTCTGACCGATATTTGAAACAGCTTATACCCAACACGCAAATTGGCAGAATAAATTAAGACACGTCTGTGAAAAGTGGGCAGACTGTTAATTCTTTCCTAGAACAAAAACTTCAAATTCAAAATGTGGCACGAGAAAGGAGAAACGTGGTTTCGTACTGAAAATAACTTGCTCTGACATCTACTGGGTACTCTACGAACTATATATAAATACAGAGAGAGAGAGAGAGAGAGAGAGAGAGAGACGACAAATATCGACCACAGAAAATCGACCAAAACTTACTCGATAAATGCCCTGCTCCGACCATTCAAAAGTAATTCGGTGTTCGATGTTTAATTACAAATTATATTTCGCTTGAAGCAAGATAACATGAAAAAATCTCTTTTTGTCCAAATATTTGATTTCTTTGACTGATAACATTTCATTAAAATTCACAATCAGAAATCTACAGTACTGACTATTTGTGGTCAATATTGTTCAAACTATCCCCAATGTATGTTTAGACTTATTTTATTCATAGGGCAGAAACTCGTAATTAAACTTATACACGCCTGTATCTTTCATTACGATCTACAAATTTCACCATAAACATTTTTCACATTCAGCAACTACACAGCTACATTTTTTTAAAAAAAGCCCCTTCATGATATATACTGGGGGGGGGGCAAATTTTACAAAAAAAAATTTTTTTACCAAAATTGCCTTATCATCATTTCCTCCCCAGCTATCAGTTACACATCACATCTATGATTTGAGGTCATTAAATAAGCCAACAGACACCAATATAAAACGTATCCAATCATCACAAATCACCATATTCCATCTACTTTAGCGCTGTGTGGCCATCCGAGGTTGTGCCGAAATGCAGATCACAAAAACGTGTAATGTGGATCCACGAGAACCTGAAACGTAATACAGAATTCTGTTTACGGAATCCTTTGCACTTGTGCCTAGGCGTTAAACTCATTTTGTTGGCAAAATGCACAGGAAATGAACAACAAATAACAAGCAGCAATGAATTTAAGGTCGGGAATCACCAACACGGACCACACAGGAGGTGTCACGTGACTGTGACGCAGGTCGGGATTGTCCTTAACATTTTAAGTAGCCAATCGTTCGGGGGTGGGGGGAGCATGGAAATTATTGAAAATTGGAATTTATATAAAAAAATTATCCTGTTTGGCCAAGGAACGATGCATTCCCGCATTTTCTGATTTCAAATAACTAAATTTACTGACAACAGAAATTTGAATGAAAATGTATGATTGCAATTCACTGAAATGCCAAAATATCTTTCATTTCATCACATTCTTTTCCCCTCTCCTCTGATTACATCGAGACAAACATTTCAGTCTAATCGACATGCAAGGAAAATGTACGCAAAATAAAAAGTAGTTGATGAAATTAAAATCGGCGGGGAGATTTTTGTAACGGAGATAAATACCAAATCTTAAAATTCCTACCACCAACGGGGAAAAAATTTCGTCCTGAGAAAATCGATCGACAGACTCGAAAGACTCAACCAATAGGCGTTTAGCATTCTTAATGAATTAGATTAAAAAGTTTCAAAGCCAATTAGAATGTGCCCTTCAGGAATTATAACCATACACAAAGCAAAAACTATGACCAAAA